TTTGTTTGGAAGCCTTTTAAATCACCTTTATCGTTACGGAAATGAAAATGTTTCCGTGAGGCATCTCTCTTTAATTTGCATCACCTCTATTTAACCTTGATTTTCCAATATTTACAATTATAGACACCAAATTTCACTTTTCACCCACATTTACTTCCAACCTTTTCTTTTGAACCAGAAACACTAATTAATGTTTTAATGTAAACATTAATGCGAATCATTAATGTTTTCATTAAGAGAGTATTGCCTTGATTTTCCAATATTTACAATGATAGACAGTAAATTTCACTTTGCACCCACATTTACTTCCAACCTTTTCTTTTGAACCGAAAACAAAAATGATATATGTTTAAAACACATGATATTATCCACCCTTGTCAAATGTAATAGCATGATCATTTCAATTGTAATGCCTTCTTATCCCAATGTTACTTTGTTTCATTGCCACATTAGTGAACACTGAACTACTGCTCGTACTCTAAATATGACAATCAACCACAAAATTCCCTAAATCAGATAACATTAAACATAATCCAAAAAATCATGTAAGTCATCTGTCAATTCACGAGTTTGCTCACAGAGCACTTTGATTTTTAGGTAATTTAGTGTTAACAACTGGGTTGAAAACGTAAATTAGCCACCGTAAAGGGTAAAAAAGCTGACGTTTCGAGCATTAGCCCTTCGTCAGAGCGATGGACCAATCGCTCTGACGAAGGGCTAACGCTCAAAACGTCAGCTTTTTTACCCTTTGCGGTGGCTAATTTACGTTTTCAACCCAGTTGTTAACACTAAATTACCTGTTATACTCTCCCATCGACGCAACACCACAGTTTCTTTAGAAACTTATCCCTTCATTCACTTTGATTTGACTTTTTTACCATATTATTGTCACGAATATTTTTTTTGTAAAATTGCCATACAGGGGCTGGCGATGCTGGACGACTTTTCCCCAATCACTTCACTTTTGTGCATGAAAGAAACCCAGTTCTTCTTAATCCAGTTCTTTTTAACCCACCTTACATCTGCGTCCAAAACCACATGACTGGACATACTAAGATTTTTTTCCAGCAACACAACCACAGATCGAGAGTTCACTTTATTTTAAGCCTTGGGTTTTGGAAAAAGGCGAATTTTTCATGCTTTTATTTCTTCCCAAGATCAGATCAGTAGTTAGTTATTACAAGAATAGCCGTTTTAGTCCATACCTTTACAGCTTCTTTCAGATGTGGTAAAACGAAGCGCAACAATTTGAAGTCTTTATCTCTGTTGTTTTGAAGAGCATTTTTGCATACATCGCCTAGGCATTTAATCACGCGAGAGACATCGAGACACGACAGAGTAAGAGTGTTTATGTTGCGTGGTTTGTTTGTCATGAAGGGAAAGTTCAATACGTAAGTCTGTGTCTCTTCTACGAAAATAAAGAAGGAGAAAAAAATAGATGAATTAAATATTCCTACTGAGGGAAAATACGATTTATGAACACTAAGAGAGGATTAAGTGTGAGACCATGTCTTGTATAAAATTTGAAAGTATAAGTTGTTGTCAAAAAGGATTAGAACAATTGGAACGTTAGAACAATACGCCACTAGAGGTAGAGGGAATAATTTATATTTAGAATCTAAAAACTGTCATGAATAATCCTAAGAGAGGGTTGTGCCCCACTATAATCACTCCAAACATAAAATATTTTGGCTAAAGGTAATTGCCTTTATTCTCATATCCGTTCCAAAGTGTTAATGAAGTTAGGAGTTATTTACTCCAAGGGAACCCTTACTCAAAAAAGCGGAAGTTAATGAAGTCTCTTTGAGACGCAGGCGAGATTAGCGGCTTTCATTGCCTTCTAGGTTATCTTTGCTGAACCATAACAGTATTTTATTTGCGAAACTTCCGTTATTTCTTTAAATCGCAGACTTTCGGTTTTACAGCCATCACAAATGGATTACTTTTTCAAGTCATCTTTGCATATTCTGTCAGCTTTTGCTTACATTATGTTACAGAGCTGAAATGAAGTGTTAGCTTACAACTAACCATTATCACTTTGGCTTTGCCCATTGAGTATATCTCTGAGCATGGTGTGGTCTCGTGGATGTATGGTTACCACATCAATTTCCTCTCTCACAGAAAGATCAACAAATTTTTCTAAATTTTCTCGTTCCAATGGACCTTCAATACCTCCCTCTAGAATTTCTAGGGGCAAATAGTTTTCACTTGAACAGCAGGCCAAGAATTTTAACAGCTAAGGATGAACGAGAGAACCAAACATGTTAGTTATTTGAACACTGACTACCCGAAAGACCGGTTCAACCATTAATCTAAGTATATTTCTCTAACATCGCAATTCTGGAACCTGGTTGTCTGCAAGTTAAACTGAAATTATTTTAAGCTTACCTGCGTTCGATTTCCACTTGTTAGTTCCATCATCATCAAATACTTAGGGAGTGTAACTTCTTCCGTTGGTACTGGTAAATTTTCAAAAGTTAGTTGTTTATTCGTTTCTTCTTGGTATTCCCTTATAGCATCTCCCAACCTGGTATTGGAACAATTAAAATTACAGATCTATAACCTCTAGAATGTTTCTTAAAGGGATGGTCTCTGATGAGTTCCCGTCTGACGTGAATTGATAATTCATGATTTTTACTGATTGGTTGATTCATTGGTTGATGCTTGATTGTGGAGAGGATTATAAAGAAACTTTCGAGGTTCTAAGGTAAAGGTAAAGGAACTCACTTTGCTATATTCTGGGGTATGCAATGTGTTACTTTTGCGAAGCGTTTAGCAACAGTGTAATGGATATCACTTATTTTCGCAAGAAATTTAGCTCCATCTTCTTCCGTCATTCTACCAATGAACACCTTCGCCAATGGATAGTCAACACCTTTCTCTTGCAATAACTTGGAATCTTCAGTAGTCATGATCACCAGACCATTTCCAAGGCTTAGATCACCTGGCGCCGGCCAAAATTGATGTCGAATTGACTTTTCCTCTTTAGCGCCTTCTATCAATAGCACCCAGGAGCCGTGCCTTCTCAGGGTCTTCATAACTTCTTCGTAAATGTGTTTCAAAGCGTAGACATTTTCTTCGAATGGATTTTGAACATTCATGTGGTATTGTCTTCCCTCTGATGTTCTGCTGAGAAGTGATAGTTCCTGATTTGCAGCCTTGGCCTGTTCAGTCAAACCGATTTCTTTGGCAAGACTACAGAAACTTTCGAGCATCGTTGCTTCATTTGTTGCGTTGATTGTCCACAGGATTGTTGGTCTGTTTCGAAAATTCCATGGTTTGTTCCAGAAGAATCGCGAGCGTACAGGTTTAGTGTAAAGTTGATCCATCAGATTTGCCGCACAGTGCTTTTTACCGTGTCCTGCTGGCCCATGTAAAATCAGGGTCTTCACGCGCGAGGAATTGCCATATTTGCAAAGGCGTTTCAAGGTAATCATAACTTCTTTATCTTCTTTTCGCTGATAAAATCCACGACGATGTGGAATCCTGACAGCATGAACTTTTGTTGGATATCGGTGTCTAATTAGTTCAACGAATTTGTAACCCTCTTTCAAAAGCTTGAGTATCCGACTCATCTTGTGTTCCTGAAAGTCAAGTTTTATTCAGTCTACTTTTGGTTACGCAATTCATTCGAGAGCACGGCTAGAGTATAACTGCTAATTTGATCCTTTTCTACTTTCACCAAATATTATGGTGTATGAATCATTTACGAAGTGAATTTCATCGAGTTCTCAGCTCCTGCTTTAATGGTCTCGCGGTTATTCTTTTAATTTCTGTTTTTATTTTGTTTTTTTTTCTTTGTGACTTACTTGAACACTTGGCTCGGTGTGAAAAAGGAAAATCGAATGTTTTAGATCGTGCATGTATGATGACCATTCCTTAAAGAATGTAAAGACTTAAAGGGTAATCCCTGACTATTACTGATACAATGTTCCATTTTTTGGAATAACGCAGGATGTAATCCTTTGTTTCACAGCTATTTAGTTTTCACCCACTTTCCATATTTTTCTCTCCTGGACCCCTTTTAATTTCTTTTTATTTCAATTTTTTTAGAGAGATATAAGTGCCCTTTCGAAATATTTCAGATATTCAATTTGTGACCATATTGTGTTGTAAATACTGTCACAACAGGTCAGTAATGAGTTTCAATGATGATGTTACTTCCAGTCTCATTTTTCTTCGCCAAATTAGGAGTTTCTTTTGTGCTATAAAATCCAAAGGGATGCGTAAATGTAGCGAAAGGAAAACTAGCTTCGGTATTCAAAGACGGATTGCATGTACATGCGTATCGAAAGAAATAACCGTGACACAATCGCTCTAAGTGTTAGTCAAAACATGAATTAATTCCAAAGAGAAATTTTCAATAGATTCCTCGTTGGTAACCTCAATCTTCGTAAATATATATAGAGTACCATTTGACGGTATATAAGCCAATGGCCTAAAATGACGTGTCGTTGGCTGCTCAAGTCAAGCTGGTCCACTCAAGGTTCCAATATGAACATTTTAATCTTACAACTCGGGACAGTAGAGACAGAAGCAAAAATTCATGCACAAGGGAGTATTTTCTTGCGACAACTACATGTTTCGAATATTTTATATGTGCGAAGATTTTATTTAGCTCACGCTCACGTATTTACAACAACATTTATAGTTATATGTAATTTACTCTAGAGTTATGCCAGTGGGACAGATTGTAAATTTAAGAACAATATAAGCGACAGGCCAATTTCAGCTAAAAACACGTCGACAGAGCTGGTATCTTTGTAAACAGCGATTTGTTTATTTAGCTTCGAGAAAAATAAACTCAAAAACTTTACCTAAAACGAAGGTTTATTCACTTAAAAATAAAGATAGGATAATTTTAAAGTTAAAATTGATATATTTAAATGAATCAAAACAGACGTAGAGACCGAACACGTCGAGTTTTGTCCCAATAGCGTGTAATTTGCGGCAGGAGTACAGCAAGAAAATGGCCGAACTCCGTGAAAATGCACGCTATTTATTTTGGTCTGGCGCGCCCGCTTTTCGCGGGCCAAAGATAATATTTTTACATGATAAACACGAAGAATTGCTCGTTGAAAAAAGCTCTTTTATTCTATGTACATTCGTATACCCCTGATGTTATGGTCGTCTGAAATATGGTAAAATTCAGCGTACAAACGGAGTAGAAAAGATAGTGTACTTTACGCGGGTGGTTACAAACGAAAGAAAGTTCAGTTGGAGATGAAATATCGTTGCAAAGCTACTCCAAGGGATGAAAAACAACTTATAAAAAAATGAATCCAAGATAATTTTTCGTTGTCTTGTACGAGCGTTGTGAAAATGCACTGAGAACCCGATAGAAATTTATGCGAATTGGGTACGTTTTGGCCGATTTCGAACTTTCGTATTTTTTGCCAAAATAAAAACTCGCTGGAACTTTTGAATATTGTTTTTTAAAACAGTTCACCAAAAGGGTCTTTTGGAGCAAATAAAAAAAAAGTTGAATTTTTGCTTCTCTCTGTTAAATGAACACGTGTTGTAATAATTGTGATCTAACAGACGGATTGGGTGAATATCACAGATGGAAACTGAAAGCTTTTCCGTGAGAGAGCGAAATAGTCCGATGGTATTTACACGTTAGACATCATTGCACTCTTGATATCGTCATGGAATCATCATGCAAACTGTTGCACTGTAAGCAAATTTGGGGCCATGTACAGTATTGTGCAAAAGTAATGCAAACGGAATTCGACGAATTTCGTTATTTGTTCTGACGATCTTTCGTCGAAAGTTCGGGCGAAAATTCGATCGAAAGTTCGAGGCCTCTTAAGCGACATTTCGTTTGAACAAAGGGCGCTTTTTCGTTGAATTTTCGCCTCAAAGCGAAACTTCGCGGCGGAAAGTATCTCTTCGATCATTAGTGTTCGAAATTTCGCTTCGAACTGACAATAGACTTTCGCGAGTAATCAAGTTTGTTTACTACCCATGTAAGCGACACGAAATATACATATAAACGGAGACACTTCATATTTGAGGCTAAACACAATAGACAAAAGGTCAAAATATCGAAAAGCATCACGCCCGATTCTGGGCTCGATTTGTGTTTGACAACGAAAGTAAATCGGAAAAATTGTCCCAAGCGTCACATCAACTTCAGTTTCCTGACGTTCCTGACGAATTTTCGCTCGAAATTTCGAGTCGCATTTACGCCATCAAGGAATTTGTCGCCGAAAGTTCGAGCCGTTCAAAACAATACATGCCTCGAAAATTCGCGGAAATGTCGTCGAAGTTTCGTTTCGGTCAAGAATTCGTCGAAAAGCCAGGAATTTCGCCGAATTTCGTCGACAGGTGTTTGCATTACTTTTGCACAATACTGTATTACATATTTCATGTACCGTATATTTCAGTCCATTTACCCGTGCGGCAGATAACCCACATCGATCAATTTTTGCAACAACGAGAAAAAAATTTCAACCGATAACTCGCACCCAAAAACAAAAGAAAATCGTTGACTCGCACAAAGTTCCTTCATTGTTTTTGTTGACGTGATATCCTATAGCGTGCACTTGCACACTTTTTGTCTTCGCTGTTTCATTGAGAATGATACCACTTGTAAAAATCTGTTCTAAAAAAAATCGATATCTCGAGATCTACTGAGTCGAAGAAATCGCTTGAAACGATAAAATACTCGGTAAAATTTCCGCACAGCCCCGTCCTAAATTCATCATTAATTATGCTGCGCTACGAAATTAACATGTCGGAATCATCTTCCGTGTGAATTTCTCTGAGCCACCTTTTTCACAATTAAATTCTTTTATTTTTCAAGTTCACTACCCGTGTAAGTAAGAATTTTTTTTTGAACTAAAGAAAGAAACAAGCTGTGAAATTGAAAAGGTAAGAAATTAACAATACAAAGTGGCAGTTCTGTATATTCATATGTACTTCACACATGGCACTACAGTGGAAAACGAGGGGAAAAAAGCGTACAATCACCCTTAAAGCACATTCAAAGTGTGCGATCATCTACTAATTTCAGTCTTTACTTACGGTTTTTTTGTCTGTAGCCAACAACCTCCTTGTTCTCCGTAGGGCAGACAGGGAACATTTGCCAGTTTAACAAATTAAGAGTATGACGTCATTGCGAAAGCGAGAAGAACCGCGGATTGAGTTTCACTTTCGATGTAGATTCTTTTTCCCTTATTATTAAAGGCCAAACGAATGGGATTCGAATTCTCGCGTGAACAAGACTCGCACATGAAACCTTCCATGTGCATTTGAAAGATTTGCCATCAGGCGTTAAGAAAGGAAACTTGAATTGTGCAAGTCAATTTCCTCTATTGCCTTTCATGTTTATGATCAAATAAAATTTATTCAGTCGTAGGGTTTGCCTTCAATGTGTCAAATTACCAGTGTGGACTTGATTCTTCTCAGATGTCAGCTGGCAAAAGATAGATACTAAAAATAGGGATGAATCCATGATGATCACTTGAATGGCATATTTGGACCCACATACTAATCAGCTCCCAGTTGGCTTGTTAGCTCAGTTGGTAGAGCGCTGCACCGGTATTGCAGAGGTCATGGGTTCAAATCCCGTACGGGCCTAAATTTTTTTCAGGTCCTACTTTCAACTACTCGTTTCAGTAGTGTTCTTAGCTGCGAGGATATCTTAGATTCGTAATTGTCATTGCAGCTTCATAGATGTTTTCATTGTTGTCGCGAAAAAATTCATAACAAAGTTTCACTTAACATAGAATGTTTCAAGAACTTTCTTCCATGGCCGTGGTTTTTCTACACTAGTCACTCTCAGGGATTTAAGGGTTAAAGGAAGCAGGTTATGAAAAAAATCATAACTTTTGATTGAAGTAGCCATTTGAATATGAGAGATAACATTTGATTTTTTCACATGTAACAGGATGATCAAGCTGAAGATAGCCTCGAAAAGTAGTGAACTCGACTGTAAGGTTCATGGTCATTTCGATACGAAGTCGTTTCGATACAAGTCGAATTCGATTCGTTACAAACTGAAGTCGATACAGAAGTAAACTCGACTTCGTCTTTGATATGTGTGGTGATTTCTTGTTTTCTATTTGACAAATTAGCTAAAATTAGACTCGATTAATTAGGCGATTCGATCGATCGACGTAATTGTACTACCCAGTTTCCCCGCGACTCGATCCACCGAGTTTCCCCGCGGCCAAAAAGAACAAACTTTATTGAAGACTTAATCATATTACTAAAGAACGTTTCCGTTGATCATGACTTTCCCAAATGTGATGGCTCCTAAAAGAGCCGTTTTTAGCGACCTGAAGTCGTCCAAAGCGACGAAAGCAGGGCGCGGCAGTTCCCGAAAGAACCGTTTTATGAAGCTACTGGGCCGTTGAGGTAGGAATACGCCTTCAGTAGATTTCTTGCACTGCGAGCACCAGAGTTTAACTCATCCCAGAGGTTGAAGATCTTGGTCTTCAGGTCCCAGTGTGTATTAAACACTGATATCAGTTGGTTTAAGGTGTTTGGATTGGTTTATTCGCTGTCATTAGAACAATTGGGTAAAATTAGCAAGTTTTTTAAAACAGTTAGTTTACTCGTCTCTTGATAT